AAAGGATTTGATGTTCAAGACAAGTTCAATAGCTGGAAGCACAGAGGCTAGAAAATTTAAAGTGGGAGAAGATACACCACCTTAAATTGTTCAGATATGGAAGAATTTAGGACTGAAAGTGGGAAGAAGTTGGACCTTCTTAATATAACCTTAATTACTGTGCCCGCCCTCCTACCAGCTATTGCTTCACAAAAAACTAAATGCAGACAAGACTCAAAAATCTGTACACTAACCAGTGTCTTGATAAGGAATACAACACCACTACCACAAAGACTGCTGGATGGCACCCAAATTTATTAGAACTGTCTACCTATTGGTCTCAATCTCATCTTTAAATATACATAACCCCATAAATTAGGCTCTGCATATTCAAGAGATAAGCCACAACATTAAAACAAAAAGGTTTTGAGAGAACAAAATTTTCATTTGTCAATTATATTAATCTACAAAGATTTAAGGCATTCAAGCCCCCTGTTTTGAAGTTTCAGACAGTTCACAGAAGTCTATTGCAATCTCCACATCAATATGCTTCATGGCTAAAATAACTTGATGGATTTTACAGCGGTTATCTTCGAGGGCAATGGGTAAAACTTTTTTCTTCCCATACCCTAAACAGGATTTAATTCTTTGTGCTTCTTATCTGCCTTTGTGTCCACTTGACTATTTCCTCTGTCTTAAGATTTCTAATATATGCATGATATACATAAATTGCCTGGGTTCAGGAAGCATTTTGACAATGCTCTGAGATGTATGATTTAAATTTTTAGGCTGCCCTGTGTGGAGTCAGGAGTTGGACTCAATCTGCATTGACCCCTTCCAACTCAAGGGGTTTCAGTGATTTCTGTGGGAAGAATATGCACACAATACTGTGTAGCATTAGTCTTTGAAGAGTTCAAATCCCAAACTATCTCATTATTATTGAATGCATAAGTTCCTACAATTAAGTTTTTTCTCATTTAGACTTATGTTCAGGGTAATTATGAAATTAGTAAATAACAGCCAGTGTTTAAAAATGTCAAGTACTTCATCTTGCACAGAACTGACAGGAACAACAGACTAACCATTTACAAGCTTTTCCTCGTACTTTCAGTGTGAATTTGTCCTTATACTTTTTCTATGTAATAAAATCAGTGACTATCAACCACTCAGTAAACTCAAGAAATAAAACTATCTATTTTCTCCATTATTAATATGCATGCATCTCATTTTATAAGCATCTGTCTCAAAACACACTGTTAATCTGAGACCTATTTTATGATTCAATATTATATTATTTTAGAACATACCACTGGGTAGTAGGGTAGCAAAGATGATGGCGTATTACCTACCAAATTACAAAGAGCATCCTGTTATCCTAAAGTATGATAAAAATAAAAGGTACACACCCACCCACTGCTGTCAGCAGATCTTTCTCTGGCATTATCTGCAGAATAAAGGATAGCTACTGTCCTATAGTCTTAGGATAGTTTGCACACAATCTAGGTAAGATTGCTTTTAGCAATAATCATACTGTCCATGAACAAGAAGTCACTGAACTTTTCTCCCAAAGCAGTTACACAGTTATAACTGCACAGTAAATCATCTAATCCATCCCACACCAGAGAACAGCAACAAGCCTAAATTGTCCCTTATCATGAAAATATGTAACATCTGCTACAGTTCACAAAAATCATATGGTGGGGGGAAAAAAAAAAATGTTAGTTTGGGAATCAGTCAATCAAAAAGTTCATTTAAATATGGGTTGGGGACAGATGTATGCCTGATGAATATGACACATTTCAAGTACATGCATAATAAAATTATGAAGTCAATCATGTGTCATTGTGTCATTTCTCTAGAAACCACAGAATAAGTTTAATAGATACTACTTCCTCAGATAGAAGCTAGCAAATTGCATATAGAAATTATTTTTAAATGAGAGCTTAAAAATTAATTTAGGTAGTGCCTGTGTCCATTTATATCTGGTGCACATCACAAAGCAGCCCTACCTAAAGCTGTGGGATTATGAATACAGCACAGATCTGATTCTCAACTAAACTAAAAGGTAGCTTCAAAACATTACATTTAACATGTGACACAAGCATTTCAAATCCATTTGAATACTAATATATACCTAAAGCGGAAGCAGCAGTGATATAAAAGAGGCCATTTTCTTCATACAAGCTTCCAGACCACAAATACGCTTAGTGAGATCAAATAAAATTGGATTTAGTATACTATTTTCTAGGCTTTCTAACTCCCTATGAAGTTGTAAAAGTTTTTAGATCTGCTTGTTTTCACATAAATGAAATAGAGAAGTTGAAAAGCACTGACTAAACAGGGCAGGCAAATGCACAAAATAAAGGAATGTTAGTGAGTTTAGGGGGTTTTTTTGTGTTTTCTGTTTGATTTTGATTTTTTTTTTTTTAATGACTGGTCGAATACTATCTGCTGCAGGAATTTATAGTCCTGTAAAATATTGTGATCAAAAACCTTAGGACACATGCAACTTTGACAGTAGTTGAAGATCTCTGCTAGAAGACAGAATGTGAAGTTTCATCTGCACTACATTTCTGTTGCTGTTACATCTGAAACAGCTGAATTGATGACATTTTCTGAAACACCTCAATACAGACTAACAAAAGAATGAACAAAAAGGAGCTTCATGTATACTACAAATAATCTCTCCATACTGCTAAATGGCTATTATGATACACACAATCTTTTTAGCAGGTCAGCTAAGAGTGTGTTATAAAGCACTGTACTGAAGTCCCATCAACATGACTTCTCTGTACTTGTATACCACTTCCTCCCCCAACCCCTGACAGCTACATCTGTAAATCTAATGAAACTAGGAAAATTATATGATTATATACCTGCTACTGATAAATTAAAAGCAAGGACAAAGAACAGAAATTATTCTTTCAAGAAGAATATCAAAGAAATTAATTGAGAGACCTATACACTAGATAGAGATTTGAAAGGACAGAATAATAAATAAATTGGAAGCTATTAAGTCAACAAGCAAAATAAGAGGTATGAGGGTACCTCCTGACTTTCAAGTTACTTTTACTTCTGAAACAGTCAGATCACTGAAGAAAACCTTAGGCACTAAATACCTTACAAATAACACAAAAATCCATAACCCAAAAAAACCCCCAGAACTGAGACTTCAGATGATTTCTGACAACAGGAAAAGAAAATGGAATAAACTGTTTGTGCAAGTGATTCTGTTTTCAAGATATATGAAAGCTGACATGTAGATCAGCTGAGAAATGTGCACTGCAGCAACTGTTGCTATCTAATTGTCAGCCAGGCAACTAACAATGTTTTCTATAACAAGAGATTAAGACCAACTCAAAGGAACTTTCCATAGTGACCACAGCAGATGTTTATTTTCTGGTTTTAGCACTGTATGTGCTAAAAATATTTTGAAACTAATTGGTTCTAGCAGTTGCATACAAAAAAGAATATACTTAAATATCAAGTCTGTTGCCTTAAAATATATAGGGGAAGTACAGGGCATGGGCTGTGCATCAACCAATATCACATAACTGGCTCTTCAGGAGTTGTACTAAGGATCTAAGAGTCCTCTACAAAGATCAAGAGGTCCACTTTCAAACTGCCAAAGGCAATTAAAGTGACACAATTTAAAGAATACTTTTGCAAAGCTATAATCAACCTGTACTACAGATTTTTTACAACACACAAGGAATTTTATGGTCCCACTTGTCCACAAGATAGTCTTGTTACTGGCCTCTCAAACTAGCAATTTTTAGAACGGACTGGTAAAGTCGAAACTCAATGTCTTGCCATGTTCCTTGAAAATCTGTGTAGTTTAGGGGAAGCGAGCAACAATTTGCAGTGCCATGGATACTGCATTTTTGACTCCATGTCAAAAACAATTTATTTTTTCTTTTTTTTTTTTTTTTTTTTTTTTGTAACCAGTATCAGCCATTTTAGTCTATATACTATGAATCAGCTTAAGGACCCTACAGCAGTACTGTAGCTTCCAGGGAAGTCACAGCTCTTGTACTAGGGCATTGAAAACACACAGTACTTTTTCTAGCTCACTTGTTTAATAGTATAGCTAGTACTTCTCAAAACCCATGAAAATAAAACACTGGCAACATCTCAAAAAGCAGTTTTCTCCATCTCAAGGCTACAAAGAGCTTACAGAGACTTTCTACCTGCAGTTCATTATATACCTAATACAATCTTTTTCCCTGTTAGGAAAAGAGAACCTGGGCTAAGCTAAATTAGAAGCATGGAAGGACTTAAAAGTCCAGAAGTGAATTTTTAATCAAGACAATTATTGTTACAACCACCTCCTGAGTTCTAACATTTGCTGCAAGAGCCTATCAATCCATTCATGGCAGCCTGAACTGGCCTGACTGTACATTTACTTTTCTCCAACATCACAACCCGCACAATCAGGATGAATCCTCTTACACACATCGCAAGCATGCATTCAGTGAAAGATTAGCATAATATTAAGGCCATCAAGTACAGAAATGAGCAGCACTGAACATTTTATTGTGCAGCCATTTGGTTATGCGCAAGAGGGAACAACCCAGCCAAGACATCTGGCACAAATTACCATCATTACAATTTTCTGCACAATTTTAAGAACTCTGGTCAGCACCTGTATGTCAACATGGAAATCACAATGTATTTCCAGGACCTACTCCTAAGGAAAGCCAGTCTGGCAAGACTGAAGAAACAAAATACCAGTTTGTTTTGGCACAAAATTAAGCGGGCACAGAATACTCCACCTTCCTTATAAAGCTCAGTATTACAAGGCTAAAGATCCAGACATGTTTGGTGTTTTTTGTTTTTTTTTTTTTTAAATGGAAAGGGCCTATTTAAAACAACATTCCTCCCTCTGTTCATAAACCTAGTATGACAGTCAAGAGATACCACTCTACCACTTGTAGCTGGCTATTCCCCTTTCCTTTCCTGGCTCAGAGAAGCTGAAAGAATGAATTAAATCATATTCACAGCTGTCCCAATTCACCTACCTGATATAGGGATCCCTCCCAGACCTGTGCTGTGTTGTGGTGGGAGATTCAAGTCCAAGAAATTACTATTTGAGGTGGGATTTGCTGTGTGGTTCAAGTGCATGATGCTATTGCGTGGGAAGGCCATCCAAGGATAGCGAGCTGCTTGGCCTGGAAAACTGAAGGAGTTGTAAACTGCTCGATGCTGTTGAAACTGTGGGAACCTCTGTGGCATAACTGGAAAGGTGCTACTGAGAGAGTTGGCATTTGTGGGTGCAGCAGGATGCAGGAATCCAGAGCCAGGCCCTTTGGCAGTTGTAGTGTGTGGGGTAGGGTTCTGAAGAGATGTGGGCGAGAGGGAAGGTTGGTCTTGGACTGACAGTTCCTTCTCAATCAGGTCTGCTAAGGCTTTACGGGTGATGTCAAAAGGGTCAAATCCTAAGTCGTCCTCTTGCTGTTTGGAGGAACCAAACCCAAAAGCCGCTTGCCAGTCTGTGGAGGAGGATACTGGTATAGTTTCTGTCAGAGAAGATGAACAGGATTTAAAACAATAATTTGTAACCATTTATCCATACAAAAGTTTCAGCCTCAGTATCTGAACCTATGTTGCCAGTTATCTTTCATATAATACTACTTTATACATTCCCCAAAGATACCTTATATGTCAGCTTCGGATACCTTTTTCAGATCAAACTGTCACAGATTTCTACTTAAGGTGAAGTGGTAGAACTAGAAAATCATGTTTTTAACTGCAGAATTGCTCTGTTCCTGAACTACAGAAAAGCCCTGTCAAAAAAGTATTTTCAGTAATACCACCAAGTAGAAAGAGACTAATAAACACTTGCTTAGAACTTTCTTTATACCCATATCACATGATGGAAGTGTGATCAAGCAGAGTTTAAATAAGGTTGTTATTCAGTTCAGTACTTTGCTTTCAGTATTAATGCTATGCTTCATCTCTGCTGTGCAAGAAAGGTGCAGAGATGATCCCTCTCAAAGAGGAAATCTCTGAGCAGTGGTTAAAAAAAAACACCCCCAAACAAACCCCATTGTCTACTATTATGAAGAAAAGACAAGCCAAATTCTTGAGTAGACACCTTGATAAAACAACAAACTGCATTACAAGATATTGTTAAATATTTTAAGGCAGTGTTGCAAAAAAAGGGTTATCAAAATTTCCCTGCATTTTCAATTACTCCATTTTATTACACTGTTTTTAAATTTCTTATTCAGGTTCAGCGAATGCTGGGTCTAGTTTCATAGTATTTGTCCTCATAACCGTGGTAACACAAGCTGATGAATACAAGGTATTATCACTCACAACGTTAACTCCCTCTGCTGGTAGGGAACCTGGTCTGCTGCTTTAAGTAGTTAAAATTAAACTCAGTATCCTCTAGGAAATCTACACTTATATTTTCATTCTAAAAATACATGGCAATAGATAAAAAGAGTTGCTAGACAGACAAAAGCTTGTAATTTGTATTCTTATTTAAATTAATGTAAAATGTATGGTTGCTATTATGAAACGAACAAGATCTCCACTACCTGGAAACTGGCTCTTACTGCTCCTTTTCCTTACAAAATTGGTGTGTATAGTACCTTAAACAGCAGGTAATGACCTTGGTAATAAATAGGGAGTCAGATAAACATCAAGAGAAGTCTAATCACTAAATCAACTTTGTCCTGAAGCATCATTTACATTCTTTCTATTTAATACTGACAGTTTTACTTTTTAACAACTCTCTCCTTTTTAATTTGTGAGCTCTTAAACACTGCTAACCATTCCTGAGACTATATAAACACACCTAAAATAATGTTTCATTCATATGAAGTGGTACTTCATAGAAAGTATTTGGAAAATACAAGTATATTTCAGTTGATGCAATTAACCATATTTTTATCTTCTCTGAATGTATATAATCTTATTTCAGAAAGGGAAAGATTAGGCACCTTCAGATAACTATGCAGGATACTAAAGAACATTCTGAATTTCACTGTGCAGCTTCCAATGTCAGAGTTACAGATTATAACAGATTATTACACCAACATACACTGACACCATGTATTTTCCCACTCTCAACAAAAACCTGTAACATTAAATATTAAGGATACATGTCACAGCCTATTATTTAGACAGACACATGGATAAGGAAAACTAAAATAAGCACTCTAATAATTTAGCCATGCAGCTGGAAAATTCTGTGAGGCTTCTTTTAAAAAGAAAACCCTTTGTCAGTGCAACTTGTTTGTAGTTAAGTAACAAATTTTAATCAGTTGTGAAGGGGGAAAAACAGTATGGAGCAAGTCCTAGAGTTTTTGGTTCTACACAGTTTAAGACATCCATTGCAAAAGCAAGAAATACCCAGCCACATAACCTATGTACATACCTGATGTGAAGAGGCTCTGTGGTTCTGGTGCTGTAGGCCACTCATTTGAAGTCTGTGGAGAGCTGGGGAATGGAGGAAGCCCACTAGGAATGGGGTTTGGATGCCGAAAGTTGTCAGAGAAGAGCGACTGTGATTCTGTTACAGCCCCTTCAAAAGGAGACCGTGCACTGTGATTAGATGAACTGATGGGTATGACTGGATTGGGTTTTGTTAAACCAGGCGGTGGTGAAGGTGTGTCACTGTTTGTTATCTACAGGCAAGGGAGGAAGAGAAACAATTAGGATATGAGTGTTTATATATAAAATATTTTTCACTAATACAGTTGAAAGATTTCCTCAAAACTTTTGGCTGCAATTAGGTTAGTTAATATATATAGCTCAGTATAAGGTCAAACAAAAATCAACTTAGCAGTAGCATTTTTTAGTTTTGTTTAGAATTATTATAGACTTCAGAAAGTACTTGCTTCTTCAACTACAAGTTGCACCAAGCCCTCAAACTCAATTCTTACTTTCACAGCATTTATCTTTGTGTCTTACCTGCTGAGAGCTGTCACCATTTCCTATACTGAGGGAATCTGAAGGTTTGTCGATAGGGCTGCAAAAGTGAGATGGGAAAAAAAGGCAGTTAAGACACTTAAGCATTTAATGTGAAAATTAACATTTGTTTTGTAGTGGTAGAAAAGCCTTGAAATAAAGACAAAATTAATTAGGAGGAATTAAGAATGAAAGAAGTCCACTTAATATTTATGAGACTTTTAAAATAATAAGCATCCCAATCGTTTGCCATATACTATAATACTTCTTCCCACCACTCTCCACTCCACCTGTGACCGCCCTGTTAAGGATCAAAAGGAGTTTTAAACATGTTCATAGTCACTCTATACCATTCAAAAAACCCCAGGACTCTTATACTATGGCAGTATTCCACAGTAGTCTATGCTACTACTGGAAAGCAACATGGGAACAGATTTGTTTTCCAAAGACCTAAATTGTCAGTTCCCATACAAGTTCTAAATAAATCTGGGGAGAGATAAAAGATTAAATTAACTATTTAGTCCTGGTGGCAAGTTAAGCTTCCCAGCAGCCTTCAAGCTTTAACTAGCAGAAATTAGTTCCAAGGAAACTGAAGTTTGAGATGACAGAAGGGGAAAAATGCAAGACGAGACATAGCATAAAACTACCAACAAAAAAAGAGCATAAAAGATAAGATACAGCAGAAAACCACCTCAGAAAGCTATTCACTGGGAATTAACATGACTTTGCTGAAACAGCACATCTCAGGATTCAAGATTCTGACATGCATCCATGAGTTGCCTTAATTATGCTAAGTACCACACTAATGAAACAATATTACCTCAAGCTTAGATTAAAATCTCTGCTTTACAACTTCAAGGTACTTTATTTTATCTACCCATAAGAGAAGAGGCACAACCATCAGGCTGCACAGCCCAAAACATAGGTCCTACAAACAAGGACCAGAAATAACAACATGAATTTCAGTTCCATTATGAGGCTAGAATGTGATACAAGTCAAGTTACAGGCATAATATGTTAGCACAAGACAAAAATATGTAGTAATTATTTCAACTGGGTGCAGACTTCAGATTCTAGCTACACTTTGTTTTCAAACACCCCTTGCTGCTGTGAAGTTTAAATATTGCAGAGTCACATATCAAGGTCAAAAATTCATTAAGATTGCTTCCCCCAGTATTTGTTCTCCCCATCCCAGAATAACTAGGATCAAAACCTAGCAGAATTAATTCTTCTCCATTCTTAAGAAACTGTGTAAGTAATTAATTAATAAAACCAATTTCTGTGCAAAAGAACACTGATTGAGTTGGTGTCTCAAACAGATAACTGAAGCTGAAGTATTTATGACTATAAAGGAAAAAATCAGAGGAATGTACTTGCAAACAAGCATTACTCCAGTTAAGATTCACAAATACTTTCTACTCAGTGGTCAAACACCATGAATAAATTTCTTCCATTTGGAACAAAGTGTCTTGGGTTAGTAATTTCTGAATACATAGCACAAAAGTTGTCTGTTGACTCTTCACTACACAATTATGTTGATTGTAGAGCTGATATTACAGCCAAATTCTTCTCCAAAAGCTGCTGACAGAAAGTCACAATGATGCAGTTTTAAAAGCTACATGTAAGACAACTTTTAATGACAATCTAAATACTGAAAATGTTTATTATACTTGAACCTGCCTAAGTCTTTAATCGTAAGACAGGCTTCCAGCCCACAAGAATGAAAAAGATTCATTATCTATTGGCTACAATATTTTTACCTACGTTTAGTACATTCTTCTTAGAAAAAATAAGAAGGAAGCTGCATGTCACTACCAAGAAGCAGCCATAGGATCTCTGATCACAGCTCAACAGGACTGCTATTAAATCTAACAGGAAGGTACCACTTTCAACAGCACTCACAATGTTAATGCATTGGTTCAATATAGATTTAAAATGAAGATCAACTACCTAACTGGCAACACACTTCTTAAAATATTAGGGTTTACCTTGTTATTTCCCCATTCAACCTCCAAATGAGGCCAACCAGTGTTACCTGAGGGGGTCCAAGTAAAACACATCAGCATGACTACAGACTATTCAGATTATTCAGAACTGCAAGTGATGCTATGATGGAAGAGGACACCAGTTCTATTCAAGGAGGGACCAAGAGGAATAAATGTTGGTTAGTAATAAGGAAGTTATTTCAAGCACATGAATTACTTCCTCTGCACAAAAGAGCCTCAGATGAATCTGCTGCCCTGTCATTCCTATTACTGAGAGATAATCAGGGAACCCTTACCTCTGCAGTTGTTTTTCTGGAACACATCACTGTAAAGAGATGACAAATTGAGCTTGCCTCTGTTGAAGCTTTTCCAAGTGACAAGCCTCCTGATGTATAGCAACTAGCATGTTATTTTTGTGGAAGCTTCTATATAGAAATGAAGGGCTCAGCTCTGGCTAGGACCATGCAGCTATGTAAGCTGTTGATCCCCTAGTTATTCAGCTCCCCTCAGCCCTTACCTGTAGCATCACTTACTAACTTCACGTTAGCGTTCTCCTGCACAATCTGCCATTCGGTCTTTGACAGGAGCTAGGCTAAGTCCAGCTTTTTGTGACCTGGTCAGGATTTGAATCCAGCTCTCCAACCAGAGAGACTGGAAAATCATTCCCTCCACACCAACCAGTGAGAGAGAAAGCAAGCTATCTGAAGTATAAAAGGCAGCACAATTACCCGAAATCTGAGTCTGCACCATCTGGAGTCATATGTTCTGGGTCTGTGCCATTTTCTAATATAGGAGGCGTTTTCCTGTGTTCCATTGTTAAACCGTTGGCTGATTTACTTGAACTCTGTAATGATGGCCAGGCATCTTTGTTATTACTGTTGGGTCTGGAAAAAGGCAAGAGTAAAAAAAAAAAAAAACAAAAACACACAAAACAAAAAAGAAGAGTTCAAGTTATGAAGAAAGTGTTTTAAAAAATCGTAAGCACTGCGGAAATGAATCCTTGTGCCAGACAATCTATAAGAATAGATTTATCTGGATATTATTTCTCAGATTTTAAATGGTGATGACTTAAAAAAAAAGAATTAGTAGGATAGGGGTGGAGAGAGAAAACCAGGGGAATTCTGTTTTCTTCACTGAATAAATAGCTGCTTTGCAAATGATGAAATCCAAACTTGTCCATTTGGGGGAGAGAAAAAAAACAACCAAAAAAAAGCTTCAGGTATCCAGACGTACAAACACCTCATTCTCATTTAGAATTACTTGCTTTATCCCATAACTATTTGTAAGTTTTGTAAATCATGAACTAAACTTTTTTTATTAAATACATGTTTTATATTCCAGGCCCTATCAAGACTGGCCCCAACAGATGAAGTTTGTGTTTAACGCCTACAGCATAGTCCACAGTTTACTAACAGACCACAAGACCACACAACATACTGTTCATTCAAGTTACTGCTCCCTTCATTTCTATTTTAAAGCCATAATTGCTTCCTTTTTATAAAGTAGCATTATATTTAATTTCAGAGTGTACATTAGATCTGAAAGTTCAAGAGAGGACTCAAAGCCCAAGTTTTTACTGAAAGTAGTTACATTTTATATACAACTTGAAGCAAGCTGAAGTATCATCTGTAACTGAATGCATTCAAATAGTGTCATCCACTAACCCTACAATTTTACTATAATTGCCTTTGTGTTCTCCAGTCCTTCTATTAACTTCAGCTTTTCATTTGCTTTAATTAGGATGCTCTTTTTACTGTCCAAGTGCTGTCTTCATAAGGAACAAGCTTTCAAAACAACTTTTTAAAAATACTTAAGTTCCTCCTGAATGTCTCCATTAATATGTTCTTATTACACAGTCCAACATCTACTCTACATCTCTAGGTCAATTTAGTAAGTTCACAGTCAGAATCTGGAAATTCCTGTAGCTACTTATAACAAGCAGTTTCTTCTAGCGTTTCCTGCTCCTATTCAAGTAAAATTGGCATTAGCTACCCTCAAATCTCAGTTAGTATTGTAAGATTTGCTATTCTACCTCCACATTTCTCATATACCTATATAGTATGTACACAGATGAGAGCCTCGACCTCATTCACAGATCTCATCTTTGCTTTGTACACGTTTGATATAAGAGATAGTGAGTTGATCAGATATTGAACATCAAGGAATGAAGACACATCATCAGCACTATGTCACTCATTAAACATTCTCAGTCTTACAAAAGTGAGCTGTCATCTAAATAAAACAAAGCTTTCAATCCATTAACATATTTATTTTAAATATCAAATTTTATGTCAGCTGCAGTGCAAAGCCTACACCAAAACTAACTTTAAAACGTCACAGTTAAAAGTCAGTTTTTCACTCAAGGAGAAAGGTAAAGAGAAACAAACTGGTTTGGTTTGGGGTGGGCTTTTGTGCATGTGGGGTTGTTTTTGTTTTAAAGTTCAAAGTTGCATGCTTCTAAAGGGCTATTCTCTAATACCAGCAAGTGCTTAACAAGCGTTTCCACTTGTAGCATAAGAAAGCATTCATTTCAGTTCTTTAGGAAAAGGTCATCAGGAAAATAAAGTTTGTCTGTTTTCAATGTGGAATATACCTCTAATTGCAAGAGAATGCAGTCACTATGACTATCAAGTGACATACCAAGAGATGAGTACCCATGTACACAAAGTGCCACTGGGGTTATTTTAACATTTGCTTTTAGCAGCAAGAAAAAAGGTCTACAAGTAGGACCTTTCAAATTAGAACATAATTGTGAAAAAGCATTTATGTACAGTTTAAGAAACTGTTTTCTACTACTGGAGATTTATAATTAAATATATACCATTTAGAACACAACTTCTGTTCAATTCCAGAGTGAAACAGAAATCCTGAACCCCAGAAACACAAGAACCACCACAAAATTGTCAGAGGCTCTGACAGACTGCCAGAAACATCGTATCAGTGAATCTGACAAAAATGAGAACCCAATGGGGTAGAAAGCTGTAAAGAACAACATGCATTCACCAGCTCACAAGCTGCATTTGGTACTGATGAGATGGGACTTGAAGAAACATTTCAAAATCCCAGCTGCAAGAAGAAACTCACTTTGCAACCCAAAAGGTGTTGCCTAGTCTTTAGCAAAGAACAGACTCTTTGTTATGATGATGTGATGCTGTTCAGCTAGCAAGAGAAATGAACTCCAGACCGCTTGTTGCCTTTGGAGCCATTTTTTCCGTAAGTGCCAAAAACGTTAGCACCACGGATTGGCCAAGCTCCAGTTCCTAATTGCTTTCTGAAGGTTTAAAAGTTTGCTGCACTTTCCAACAGAGCATTCTTTCCTCACTGGTATCTTTTGTTTTGCCGGGATCTAATTGGGTTTCAAATTAAGATTAGCTCAGACTTTGAACATAAAAATAATCAATACCCAAATGCAGGAAGTGTTGTATTTGCTTTACTCACTGCACTTTACCTTCCAAGTCAATACTGAACCAATGCCCAAGAAATAACAAGTGGCACAGTCCTTAAGAAAAGCTCCAACTGAAATCCTGACCACTTGCAAAGAGCAGACAACACTTCCTTCAGAAGTTAAAGAAAATAATCTCATTACACCACCTGGGATACCTGTTCTCAAAATTGTATTCTGCTTATTCAAGCTCCATTGGCAATATTTTAGATATAATACCCACTTTCTTGCTTAAACTGTTGTGCAATGATGCTGCCAGTGGCAAATTATTGTCCGAAAAATTCAGTAGAGGATAAACTGGCACACAACACAAACTCTGATTAAAAGGCCAAGGTGCATACGAAGTGCAATCTAACTTTTACATTCCACTCTGCCCATCTCATCATGAAAATCCTACTAAAGAAGTGGAAGAAATTGTTAACAGTTTTTATTTCTTTATCTTAAATATGACATTTGAGTGGCTAATTCACCTAAGGACTGATGACCTTAGGTTTTCATTTATCTTTGTATGACTATGTACTCACATAGACAGAAATATTTTCATAACTTACTGAACAAACTGCTTCAACAGAGTATTATTTTAACAAACAGTAATAAGTGATAACTGAAATGACAACATAGTGAAAAAAATATAATTTAAGTTTAGTAGAAAGCAAGAAGTTTTATTCACATCTTGTGAATTCTCACTCATAAAGAAGAAAATGATTTTACTTTTAAGTTCCAAGGTCCTTAGACCTAATGCAAGGACCGCACTATAAATCATTATGTAAAACACATATATCAAGACTATGAGGTGCCTCAGTGGTGAGAGAATAGACTGCATTCATCATGACACCATACCAAGAAAGCTGACATCTGGTCTTCAATAAATATTATGTGTTTATTCAAATATAAAATACAAGGTAATCTTTCAGACTAAGAATACCTTGTTCTGAACTAGTGATCCACATGCACACAGCAGAACAACATTTCTTTACTAAGTAAGATTTGTATTAGAACAAAGTGGTGCATATGTGTCTCTGCACAAAGAAAACTAGTATTAGAGTTTATCATGCCATAGCTGCTAAAAAGAGAGGACAACTTAAGGGATGCAATACGAATAAGGGGTTTTCTTTGGGAATAACCAGAAAGAGAGCATAGCCAGGCAGTCCAGCACCAGTACTTACACATCATACCTCTGCAGTGCTGTCACTTTGTTCTTGTTCTTGTCAACTGTACCCGTAGATAATTGGAGAAAGTTGGGGTTTAGTTTGTATAATTCTTGCAGTAGTTTCTGTTCATATTCCTGGTGCTTACCCGCCTAAGGAAACAGAAAATCACAATGAATGAATACTGCTTTAATATATATTTTTATATATATAAAAAATATGTTTTATATCTAATGTATGTATGTATGTCCCAAAGCTCAGTAACTCAGCTTTAACAACAAGTCACTCCTGACAAACTCAAACCAGTGCTTCTCAATCCCAGCACAGACATGATCTTGACAAATCTAAAGCTTGCCTAGAAATCACTTGGATGTGTTTACCAATTCATAATTTTTTTTGAGACTTCTAAAGAAGGTAAGTAGTTACAGCCTTATTAGACTTTCTCTTCAGTTCTAATCAAGAGCTTCATAACATACTTTCTAAACCACCAACAGCTAAATCTCTAAGGCAGTCTGCATTTGATATATCAACCATACTAAGCTTTTCATAAGATGGGAAGGAGCAAGAGTCTCTCTTTTAAACCAAAAGTTCCGAAACGGAAGTAATCTTATATTGGCTTAATAAAAAAACCTGAGGTGATCTGGGAGTTAGCTATCATGCGACAAGCAGGGCATTCTGAGCAATAACTGATAAATCACTCTTCTTAACAGAAAAAATGGAATTATATTAACTGAATTAATTGAGAACAACTTCTTGCTTTCAGAATTGAGGAGCCCCAATCAAACTCCAGAATATTTAAACTGGTAAAAGAAGAGAGTATTTTTTCAGTCTAGTTTATCTGTAACACTCTGTGGCTAAACACTTAAAATAAAACCAGCAAGATCCATCCCCCATGCAACATTTAAAGCAACATCTGAAACAAGTTCAAGATAAACATGCACATTTTTTGTAGTAAGAGATGTCCTTTAGAAAAGCAAGCAAGGACCAAGATTTACAGTCAGGCCTTCCGCATCTTAAGTCTGGAACATACATGTCATCACATCTACAGTATTGATTTAGAATCTGTCATGCCACTTGCACACCTAAAACTTAACATTTGTACATTACTTAAATCATTCCCTTTATAAATGTTTTGTTGGAACAGGAATGGAATTGATGGACAGGCAATGTAGACATTCTCCTAGAAAAATATTACAATCTAAAAGAAAACTCTTTACTTGCTTTTTTAAAAAAAATATTAAGCAGGAATATTTGACAAAATTCAGAACTGCTGGGAAACTAAATTCCCTTCTGGGCTCCTTCAGAAGGGTACCTGCATTATCCCATCTGAATGCTCCAAGTCAGTCAAACACTATAAATATCTCAATTTTTTGGATACTTAATTCACCAGTTCTCCATTACAGGTTGATTCTGAACATTTCTTTCTCTATGTAGTCAACTGCACAACCCTCAAAAAATGACGCTGAAACATATGGTGGATACATTATCTTACCCAACTTTGTCAGTGTCTACACCCAAGCTACTACCTACAGTAGAAAGAAGTGTGGTTTTAGAGTGTGGTTCACCTAAATGCAAACTTTGAGATATATTGCACCCCGGAAATGCTTCTTTTGCTATCCACTATGAATAGAATAAAAATAACTAGCTTAGATACACAGATCTGCACTGCAAACATTAAGCAGCTGAGTAAGAAGAAACCTCCCTGGATATTTTGTCTTGCTTAAGGCTTCAATGGCAAGAGACTGAATGTCATGGCCAGGAACATCAAGCCAGTACTAAGCTCACTTACTGTTACATAAACATAAGAAAGAAACAAGATTAAAATCCTATATAGGATCCTACAATAATTGTGCTTTATTTATAACAAGCAATCCAGAGGCCAAGCTTAGCATCTCCAACCTACCTTACCTAAATTGCCAACTCCATTTTCAGACTTCCTGGAGTTCTACCAGTTCTTTTCAGCTTGTCAGAATGCTTACCTCTGTTAACAATTACTGAATTTAGAATGTAAGTTCATCCATTGACTTTTTTTTTTGTTTGTTTTTTTGTTTTTTTAAAAGAGAGCATCAGAGCCTGTGACAATGATCAATCTCATGAAAAGGACCTGTAAATTCATTGACACTAACCCAAACTCCAGAAAGCTGGTACAGTGAAAGCATAATGCACCTCTGCATGAAATCAAGAAGAAAGTTCAAGGAATGTAACAAGAAGCAGAAAAGGAAGATTCATTTAAGTCACCAAGATCAAATATAATCCACTCAAGACTTCTGAAGAAACTCCCATCTGAAACTGAATTCCTGGACAAGGTATATAATCTATCAATTTTAACTGGCAGATAGGTCAGAGAACTGACAGACTGCCACTGTCTCCTACAGAAATGGCTGTAGAAGAGATCCTGTGAAGTACAGACTGTTTACAACCTCCATTCCTCCTAAGATTCTAAAGTCTATCTAAAAAAAAAAAAAAAAAAAAAAAAAATCTGCTGAGAATGAATCCGAACATATTCTGTAAAGGGAATCCTATTTCATTAACATGATGGAATTTTATTATAGAGTCAATAAGCATAAAGAGGATCCTAAAACTTTCAAAAAGTGTTTGATAATGTTTCAGAACAGAAATTATTTACAAAACTGCCTTGGGATAGAGGAAAGATTATTGTGTGGATTGAAGCTGTTATAAAGATAGAAAGACAAAGCAAAGACTTACTCGTCACTCTTTCAGGGTGTAGAAGCAAGTGATGAGGACTAATGACTGGCATCAATTTTATGCAACACCATCAGCATGCACAAGAAAGGAGTAGAGAGCAAGTTTTTTTGCTGACAATACCAAGCTCTTTTGGTAGTAAGATGCCATGCTGATAATGAGGAACTCCAAAAGAACTACAGAGAACTCAGCAAACAGGCAAAAAGGTAGCAAATAAGTTTCACCAGAGACATGTCAGGTAGCACATCAAGGGAGAAGTAGCCTAAACCATACTAATGCTCTTATTGATCTGTGAAATGGCTGTTACAGCTCAGTGAAGAGATACTGAAGTTACTGCCAACAGATCTCTGAAACTGTTAATTATGCACTGCCAATCAAACACAAAAAATGCACTGGGCATCATTAGGAAGGGCACTTAAATTTTTAAAGAGTCATGGCTGACAGCTCTATAAAAAAGTAAAAAGCCAAGACAGGAGGAACATACCCTCAAACATGTATAATATAACAGATCTAGGTGGTGGAAAAAATATAGTGAAATGAGCAGGAAAGGTGGCCTGGTTTGCAAGTTCTTGAATTTTACCTCCTATTGCCCTTATATGTGAAAAAAATATATACTATAGGGACTATACATCTGAACTAGCAGAGTATTTTTTAAATTTATGAAAATGCAGCTAAAATCCTCAGAAATAACTGCTGTTTTTTTTGAAAAAAATGTATAATAGATATGGACATTCTTCCTTATCCTCTGGCTTACAGCTGCTTAACACATTAAATAAAATTTACTTGTATGACATTTGTGCTAGCACTAGGGGTGGGGACCAGCTGCTTCAGACAGACCACGTGCAGTGGATGTATGGATGCAAGGCTGGCATACTTGAGACTGTGTTTAAAAGCTTTACTGTACTTCATGTAGAGGGACAGACCCAGACATACCTCAGAACGCACCACCTTTGAGAAAGTAAAGCTATCTGTTTACTTGCTTCTGTACCCTAGATAATAAGCATTTTAATGTTGAGATAGTCATTAAGTCCCTCCATCAGTATTTATTCTCTATTATAGTTACCTTCAGTGTTTTATTTCCAAACAGTTTCTACACCCTTCACAGGCTAAAAGGGATATCGGAATCCAGACAACATAGTCAAATCACAGTGCAGTAGTTAAGCCATGATAACTGGTCATATACACAAAACCTACAGGAAAACCCAGATCTGCACTAACTTCTTCCAGAGAATTAAAATAACATACTTTACTTTGCATTGGTATGAACAAAGAGCAAGTAGATATTTGAAGGTTATTTGAATTCTTGGCTAAGTTTATCTCCATCTTTTTGACTCATGAACACTCAGTGGACTTTTCAGCCTTTAAAAGCAGCATGCAATGAAAAAAACTTAACTGTTCACTTCCACTATCTAACTGGTTAATCACCTCCTGGACTTCAAAATTCATCTCTGCCATAACATTCATTAAAAGGCTACATTATACATTAGACTAAAGTATACACAATAGATACATGCCACATTTCATGTTTCCATTCATAACACTTACCTGCATTTCCTCTTTTGTGAAACTGGCTGCTTCATCTCCCAGCTCATGTAGATACATGCAGTCTGGTTTTGGACACTGCATATTTTTTAGAAAATAACTGCAGTATTTTGTTGTACCTAATGATGCCTGAAGGAAAAAAGAAAACAACTACTTAAGTACTGGATGTTAAGAATGCCAGAATGCCTTTTACAGTATAAGAAAAAACCCCACTCTATTTGCAAAAAAACCTCCCCAAGGTTTGAAGTTCTATCATAATGCACTTTTTGATGCAGATGGACTAGGAAGTCCATTTGTAAGGATTCTATATACTTCCAAGATTAGATAATTAGAACATATGTCTATTTTCATCCCACCTAAATAAACGCCAAAGAGCCTCAGTAAATTTTTGCATTCATAATCATGAGAAGCCATATAAGTCGTTATGAGTTTGTATTACATGAAATAGGTTAATGTTTTGTAGTAGGGTCAGGAAATGAATTAACTAGCTGATTAGCCACCAGTTTATACATATACCAAAGGAAAAAAACCTTGCATTTGACTAGAAGCTTCTGAGAGATGTGGTGTTTGGACTACAGAAATGTTCTGTAAAAGCAAATAATCAGGTTTTCACACTGTCCTATTAAGCTGTACAGCAAATAAGCCACTGTAACAAGGGGGATGTGGTGCATCTCTGTCTCAAACTTTTGTATTTGAAAGTTACCTGCTAACCCCCTAAAACACTGCCTGCTGGAAGCTCACTGAAATTCCATTTGTGATTAATGCTAGGAAAATAGGTCAAAACCCAATACACTGGACATTTTTGTTCATCAACACAAACATATCCATACAAATAAAATTTTATACTATGCACTAGTATTACGTGTCCTAGCATATATACATATTACCACCTTAAGTGTTCTGCCGTCTACGACCACATTATTAACGCACTGTATGGCTCTGAGAGCGTCTTCTGACCGGATGTAGGTTACATATGCACTGGCGCTTGGACCCTAGAAAGAAAATATACCATATTTTTTAATTTCTTCCTTCCCCTAGACAGATCTGCTTTTTAAGCAGCTTACTTCATAAACTGGTATATTCACAGCTAGATGTTTTTAAAAAATGACAAAAATGGTAGAATTCATAAAAATTTAGATGCAATACATAAAGATCAGGCAAAAGAAGAAATGCATCAAAATGTTGCTTGAAAGTTCTAAAAATACTTAGAAGTATTTTATCCCTGAAATGCAGATTAGTGAATAAATGCCACACTGCTGCTTCTTTGAAGGTTCTCATCATGTCTCCCAGTCTTTAATCTTTCTACATTGCATCTTGCAACCAACTTTGAGAGTCTGGTTGGATAATGCCTCAGTAACTTAATGCTAATTTGATTTTTGCAATGCTGCTGGTTTTCTTTTTTACTTTAATCTATTGCTTAATCAGAAATATGGAGCCCCAGATTCACTAAGCATACACTTATTTTCTCTAAAAGAATATTAAAAAAAACATCATGAGGCCTCTGACTTACCTGTGAGCCTGCATATGATGTGCTGTTATTAATGACAACTTTATGTATTTTACCAAATTTGCCAAAATATTCTGGTCGTTTCAAAACCTACAAGAAAAAAAACGTTAAAGTCATACAACGGAAAGTTAGTACATACAGGGATGAACTTTTCTGTATAACTGCACAACTAAAGCCTTCAATAAAAAAACTAATAAAAAAGACTTCCTACAAGGCATGTAGATGTAGATTTGTTTTCCACTGTAACACATAGTTACTTGCAATACAGAGTACATTGCCACTGCAGTAAAGAACTTAAATGCTACTCCACATTTTGTGTTGTATTTTTAAAAAATTTCTTTCAGCACTCAGATGACCCAAATCCTACCCTGGCAAGATACATACTATTCAGCATGAAATATTCCTATATATACCTATTTTATAATTTGAGGAAATAAATAAAAAAAATCACACTCATTCCAGTTTTAAAATAAACAACCATCTTAAATTTGCATTCAGATATATTAATTGCTAGGAACAAAATGCTGAATCCTAACTCACTTGTGCCCCACTCCATATAGAGAGAGAGTCAAGCAATTAGCTCAAGACAGCCTCAAGTTTTCAGAATATCAGACTAAGTTCAAGACAACAATACATGACACCTCCCTGGGGCAAGAAAAAACATTTTAGAATCAACACTACGCTAAAACGAATGAGTATCACATAAAGAAAAAATAAAGCCTCCTGCCTTACCCTTCCCTGTATCAGTCAGTAATAACACACCATTTAGGGATCCTGTGCAAGGCAGTAACATCTGTAGCGTATTAAGCAACTGTGTTGATTAACAGTTACCTGTGCACCTGTAGAACAGGCACTGTATCTGACACTTTTGGTACCAAAAGTCTTTATATCTGAGCTGGAAGTAGGTACAGAAGTAAGGACTATCCAAACTGAAGCTAGATAAGCCAAGGTTATTTCTAGTTATAGACAATAACCCAAGAGGTTAAAAAGGAAGATTTGTTTCCCCAGCTCCGTCTTCACAGTTAACACTGTACAGTATTACAGTGTTCTCTATCATCAGCACAGTACTAATCCAAGAACTTTAGTTAAACACCTCCTCTCCCTTAAGGGAGCAAAGTCTTCAAGATCTAACAGCATAAATTGCATTTGGAACACCCTGTAGAACTACAGGACACACAGTATACAGACCACCAGTCACTCACCAGTCTCTTCTGACTGCTCTTCACTTGATCTACACCCTTCTGAAAGATCTTACACCCACCCTTCACATCATTCCAGAGACTAACATTCAGTAAAGCAGAAGAGTTTCTTCAAGTATCTTGCAGACTATACTCCTGATAAGATATGGCAGCACAGCCTTCACAATTTTCACAAGAGCATGTCACTAGAAATGGATCCACCTGTACTCCATCATGATCCACAGATCTATTTCCAGAAACAGCAAATAGAAGCCCATCTCCCCTTCCAAATCATCTATCTTTGTGCTCAGTTTTTCCACTTGCTTAAGTGCAAAACTTAAATTGACTATATTGAATACTTTTTTTTTAGCCCATCTCTCTCTTTCAGGCTAGTTTTCTTCAAAAACAAGTAATTTTGGTGCTATATGCAGTATCCAGTAAGTACACGTCATCTTCTGGTACATTAGTGAGAATACTGCTACCACCAAACCTAGTACAACACCACAAACACCTCTTACTACACCAACAAATCCATTTCTAATTACTTCAAGTATTTAGCATGGAATTATCTGAGGCTAAAAATAATTTAGCTCTATATACTACTATTTCTCTTACTCACAAATTCTCTATCTGGTCAAAGAAACCAAATACATATTTTGGTAATAAATAGCACCAAGTCAGTGTTGACAGTTGCTTGCAAATACTTGTTGCTATATTCTTGTAGAAACTGAAGTGTTACATACCAGATCTGCTTAACTTGGGGTTTTTTTTCTTCCCTTCCTATTTTCCCCCCTTTTACATTTGTTCTCACTCAACCAAAATGTAGCCCATACTCTGCAAATCCTCAGAAAGAGCCACTTCTATCTGAGATTTCTTCAGACAATTTAGTCCAATCAGGCGAATTTAACTAAGCACAGTGGCTTTGAAGACATCCATCTTATCCTGTATTACATTCCCTCCAAATTTTAATTCAAGGGACTTTTACTCATTAGAACTAATACCATTAGCCACCTTCAGCTGACCGATAATGGAAGCAGATAAAACCTTTTAAACACAAGCAGTTGTGTCAAATGAAAAAGCTGCTTTTTGATGATGCAGAGTAGGAAGCCAACTCTTTCCTGGGTCTTCCTCTTACTGATTTTTTTTTTCCCCCTCAAATGACATCACCATTTATGCTCATTCCTAGTTACAATTCAAGAGTTGGTTTTCTTCTTCTGTCCCTACAGGTTTGTGCTACCCTTTATATTTGTTCTTTAATCCAACCAAGTCACCATTTTAGAACTGGTGGGGCACAAGACAGCTATACAGTACAAGTAGATCCAGCCTAGGAAAATGAGTACCTAAAAAACCCCCTTTAAGCTTATATTTAGTTTAACAAGCCATTTTTAAACAAATACAAAGAACAATTTCCTCAACAAAAAATACAGCATCTATACTCCCAAAACCAACACGTGAACACTTATTGAGGCTATTTTGGAGGAGTAAGGTGAGTAGGTTCCCTCAAGAAGGGGCTTCAGCAGCAGTGAACTTTATCAATGCTGCTTCCATTTTATACTCATCAGGGAAAGAGACAAGGGCAGGCACAAAGGTATCCTAACGGTTCTTGACAATAAGTTAAGAGCAAGATCTGTAAGTGTGAACCTCTCACCTCTGGATCTGCTAGGCGTTGAGATAGCCCTACCACAAAAACAAGGTTCTTCTGTACAACCCGTACACTGGCCAAATGTTTGCGATTCTCTGATATCTTCTGTTTCCTCTCATTTTGTTTCTGTTTCTTTTCATTTTTTATCCTTTGCAGCTCTTCCTGGGAGAGTGGTTTGTACACTGCTGGATCTTCTGGATATGGCTAATACAACAAATAACATTAAAAACAACCCATAAGAAACAACACATTTGAAAATCATTAATTTTGATGTTCTAACACACAAATTTCTTCTGTGATACTGTTCTGATTGTCACAGCCAGCCACATTATAGAAGCAGCTTATTCAGTCCTTTGAGAAAGATGAACATCTTGTATATTTTCATAGAATTGTCCTATTTATAGACATGATACTGATTTGGACAATTAACCACATTCTAACCCAGCTGCCTACTCAGTCTGCTAACACTACAAGCAGCCACAATCTGACAACCAACACATCCTGTTAAGACTTCACTAACATAGCATAGTAAGCAGGGTGAAAGTGTGCCCTGCATGTTGACTTTACATTTAGTTGTCTGATACAGATTTAGATACTTAAGTGCATTAAAGACTACAGGATAAGAAATCAAAATACAAATGCAATTTCAGTACCCCACCAAGTTCAAACCCATAGCACCATTACACGTCTCCATCTTTTACATGGTCAACTTCTCCTAGCAAAGAGACAGATTTCATACAGTTACTGCATACTGTTTAATGGTATTCTTGCTGTGCTTAGGTACCACTTTCAAACTTGGGCTTTGTCTTCCCTGGACAATGGTACATTTTTAACCTCAAGATTATCATCTACAGATAACTCCTCAAACACAGACCTAACACTGTAGATTTTAACCTCAAAAGTATCTAGCAGAAGTACAAATGTGCTCAGAGTTACCTGGAAAGATTGCTCTATTCATGCAGAGCTTCACTATAAAGGCACTAGTTTGGCCTGGTGTTGTAGATCACAGTGCACTGTCCTTTGCCCCAGATTACCCCTCAAAGCAGTCCCATAATCCTTATCTGTCCCAGTTTTCTCGGACTTAAAAGTTAAATTTCACACTTAATACACAAAGCAACAATAAGCACAGAAACAAACATTTAAAATTTTATCTCAAAAAGAAGTGTTTCTAAACAGTGAAATGAAGAGTACAGATGTGCATTAAGATAAAGACTTAAGATAAGGAAGCTAAGGTCACCAATATGTTGAACTAAGTTCTTTGCTTGTGCTACCATAACCAAAGGTTTCAGTGTGCAAGTCCAACAAAAATGCATGTGACTTTTCCCTGACTATCTTCTGTTATGGCATAATACAAAACTAGTTGTCAATCTAAATGATGCAAAAAAAATCTTCAGCAGCAGATGAAAATAAGGTTTAGGTTAAAAGCATATATTCCTCATACTTGCATGATTCTACTGAAAGAGCCACCAAGTGCTCAGACCTGACAGTCTTCTGAGTACATCCCCAAACAAAGCAAGGCCCATTTTACAGTTTAAAGAGTTTAAAGTTCACCACCATTATGCTATATTTGAGACATCTTCTGAAAGTATGCTGCAGTCGACTTCAGCGGATGGCATCTTGTGGTTAAACATCAAGTCCTCTGGAACATGTTTTTAGTACCACAAAGGAATGTCAACTTGTAAGATGCTTTAGCAGTAGCCAAAGGTACACAACTAAGTCCTTAACATGAAAACACAATGAGGACTCATATTATCCTTGAAGAAGAGTTAAAGCTGTACCATTTCTTAAAAAGTTATGTTATTCACAAGTAACACTGAATACCTTACACAGATTTCACAGTGTACTTGATGAACAGCAATGACCTGTTAGTAAAGTCATTTGAGATTAACTATAGACAATGATTATCCTGTGTTTTAACACGTATACACATGAGGACTTCAAAGATGCAGAATAATGCTGCAAGGCATTTCACTTCTTTAAAGAGCTTCTCAAAGTATGTGCTAGTCAATCACATAGAACAAAGAACAGATATTGTTTTGTTTCAGTGAAGAGAAATACTGCTCAGCAAAGAGAGAGTTAATTCAGTTATCATAGTCGAGTTCAGGTAGGAATGGGAAGAAAACAAGTGCACCAGTATAAGGTAGATATTGTTCCAAAAATAAAATAGCTTGCCCTACATCGTTATATGGTATTGTACCCACAATCCACCCTTTCACATATTAATTCCTTCTCCACATCCCATACTATGCAAAGCAAGACGTGCAACTATGCTGCTCTGGTACTGCGCAAGAAATTAATTTCTTGTTGTCACTAGGTTCAGTAAGGCTCCTGAAGGTCCAAGCATAATATAGCAAACAGTGCCAAAGTTAATCAGCTTCTTTCTTGCCAAGTATAGCCACATTCAGAGCATACTCTCAAATGAGAACCAAGTCAGACAGTATGTTCCTCCTCTGCATCACTACTTGCTACTGGAGGTCCTGAACATTAGTCAGGAAACATCCCAGGTAGCTCGAGAATAACACTGAGCAGAAAATTTGTTTGCTCATAGTAAAACTAGTAGTTTGTATTTGTACAAGAGAGCGCAAGAACTGCTGGGAGGCACACAACTAAAACAGCAACTCCAGAATCAGGGAATCAAGGAAGAGAAAATGTCATTACTTCAGCAGAAAGTATGAGACTGCCTAGATAAAGATTTCAACCATTAAGAAGTAGCAGCAGTTGATTTGCCACCATGGATAACAGCATTTGTTTGAGCAAGAGAATCATCAAAAGTTCTCACTAAATACTGTAGAGGTTTATTATATACAAAATGCTTCATATGTATGTTTATCACTCATTACATGTTTTATGCTTCTAAGGAATATGAGTAGTTGGATATCCTGACTTGCAAGACCTGTAAATGAATCTCTGTGCACATCCTGAATCCCAAGAATAAATCAGAAACCCAATGCTAAGAAGTGATAGATGATTTTCCTACCTACATGTTGGTGGCAAAATGACAGATAAGGGATACTGTGCACTTAAGGAGGGAGGAAGGCAAGTAAGCACAGCACCAACATTTCAGAAGCAATTTCTAAATAGTACCATTAGAAATCCTGTTCTTTTCAAATAAAGACGTGAAGTCAGTCTACAAATAGGACAATGAATAAATTCATCTTCAGAGTGATAGCTTCCCACAGCACTGAGATTCATGAACTCAGGTAACAGTTCAACTGCAGACAGAATGCATGCAGGAAAGGCTGGAGGAACATGGCTCTGAAAGCCAAGCAAGGTGGATTGACTGCTGGAGTATCTCACAGTACCATTTCACCTGTTTAACTCTGTCTAACCCTATAAAATAGGGGTAAGGGAGAGGACCACACGTACCAGAAGCAACACCTAAAGTGGCAAAGCTACTGACATGACCACTTCCACACCCTCCACATACCCCTGAAATGCAAGATATCTGTTTAACCTACTGTCACCAATTCGCAGCTGACAGATTTGAGATCCAAGCAAAGTAGATATATCAAGTGTTATCAGCATTTATCTATGCTCAGATGCAAGACAAAAAGCTATCAACTGATTCACCGATTTTAGCTGACACCCTCCACTGAAGTTATACAAATCCTCTTCAGCAAAAAACATGGAAGCCTCCTCAACAAGATGTGCCAACACAGAAAAACACCAGATTTTGTTTACAATAACTGCAAGTTGCTGGTAGTCCTAAAAACTTCAAAAGTTCAAATGGCTCTTCTGTAGTCTCATTTCTTTAATCAGAGATGGCCCTTGAAGAATTCTCAGTCTTCCTAAGTTTGTCTTGTCATTTAAGTTTTGTTTTCTTTCTGACTTTTTTCCCCACATTTTCCCAACTGTTGAAAGCTGAGCTGGGATTTATCAAGCACTTGGCTTTCGTTATTCCCAGATGGGTCACATTCCTTCCACACAATGGATGTACCAACATTTCCCGGTTGTTGCCTTGCTACCGAATAGGTTCTGAAATGACAAATACAAGAGAAAGTCAATAATGTTTATTATGTATAGCATACACCACACTACTTACATCAAGAAAAAAAAAAAGCAATTTCTAAATATCAATTGTTGCACCAAAATACTCAGTTCTGGGATTAAAAATACCAGAAGAAACAACTGATATTTTGAAACTATGCATTAAGGCCAGGTGTTTCTTTTACATAGAAGCAGGAAGAGAAACATGGACAAAAGCATGCCTAACACATGTTAGTTTTTCTGATGACAAATGTAGCAGTTTACTACTTCTCCCCATCTCTAACACAAGGAAGGAGGAATCTCTAACACTAGAAGGAATTAAGTTGACTCAATCAAGGAACTGAAGAACAAGGCAAACCCACAGGGCAGCAACAGTTGTATATCAAGTTAAGGATATTTGGTGGAAGGGCAAAGCAATTAAGAAGTGTGAAGGAGCTAGGCTTTGTTTTGTTAGATTTTAAAATTGCACCAACTGACACTAATCTATTAAAGCAACACAAGCTACGGAAGCAGAATTTGTTATTCATATGACAAACAGTACCCAGGCCATTGAATTTTAAAGAAAAAAAAAAACAAAACTGTCTTGACAAACAGCATGTCTGGCAACCTGTAAACCAGCTTTTGGCTACAGCAGTCTCTTTTGAGAACAGCATATTTTCATTTTAATTTGACTAGTTAGGTGCTATTTTATTCACAGTAATTGATTGGAAAAAAAGGGAAGGCTTGCTTAGTATCTTACAATTGACTACATCTGCAATTCTGGAGGGCATCAGGAATTCAAAGCAGGTCAGTTCTATTTTTTAAGGAAGCACTTTTTGTATTTAATGAATTAAACAGTTTTTTTCTGAGTCTATTTCAGGAGATTGAGATAAAGTTTAGAAAGCTCTTAATGTGTTAAGATTAACAAGTACAAGTTTCCAACCAGAATTCAAGCTAAATTCACACTAGCACCTTAGTTTCACAAATCAAAGTGTTTGTCCACTACTAACAGGAGGAAACTTGAGACACTAACTCAACTGACTTCAACCACATGAACACAGTCTGCACATGCAAATGTTTATAACAGTTTAAGCATGTAGAAGCATTTTCTCCTTTGTAGAAAAACCTTCAAGCTAACATCTTTTCATTTAGAAGTAAATTAGAGAAGCTTAGGAAAATAATGGTATATATGCAATGCACAGTTAAAGATCTATCAAAAGCACAGGTGCCACTATAGTGTACAGCCAAACTGTTTTATCACAGACTTTTCCAAAATCTCCCCCAATCCCTTCAACAAAAATCCCTGAATAAGGTATTTCTTCATTCCTCCTCTACACAGACTAGTGATCAAACCACTGAAAAACTTACACTACGTTCAATACCGTTGGCACAAATAGCAGTTTCCTATTATGTAATTGTGCATAACATACTCAGCCTTGCTTTAATATATGTTTATTCACAGTCCATTTGGCAGTAAGTATCTTGCACTTGTATATGTATTACAAACATGACGTACCTGTTGAAACCATAGTACCTACTACAAACCTTCCTGCAAAAATTCTGTTGCTTTACCATTTCCAGTGCTTTCAGCATTTTAAGTGGTCACAACCAATATGCACCATAATAGATATGAATTTGAAAACTGCTTAGATCTTTCCCCTAGAAACCTTACTACACACAGACAGGAACTATTTAGACACACTGCACACAAAAACACATACCTGGTTCAGAAAGTCCAGCTCACTTCAAACCATGGCTTCTTCAGACTTCTTTGATGATCAACAGCATAGCTTGAAATTATTTATTCCCAAGATCCTGATGTGGTCTCCGCACCACAATGTCTGTCTATGCCATGAAAGGAGTGTACTCCTCAGCTGCCTCCATGCAAATCTCCTACAATCCAGTGATATAGCTGCAACTCAAGAACATCTTGCAGTCCGTGGATGAAGAAAGTACCAAGAGCATAATCCTCATCCATTGTTGAAGAGGCCTCCTTCCTCCCCTGGAATGGTCGGTGTGCTTCATTTCCATTGTAGCACTCATCCTAACTTTCCTCCCAAAACAGCTTCTTAGCAAACTGTATCCAATTCAACAAAATATTTACACATCCAATCATACACCAGATTATTCCACATGAAGAAATTCAGATGTAGCAGCATCCATATTTCAAAGAATTCAGATACCCAGAGGCAGTGAACAGCATGTTGCTTCTGTGATTTCTCAGATATATTCCACAAACTTCCAATAACGAACGGGCAGAGATGAATCAAACAGTTGTTGGCAAAAAGTTGTATAATAAATCCAGACAAATGAAGCAACTTAGGGAAATTCCAGCAATTTCATGTTGCACCAGAAGAGTAGAAATTTGCTTGTACTTATGAAAATTACTATACAGCATATGTCATCTACAGCAGGTATCCCATGTGGAGACTGTTTTGGTTGATGACAGATGGATCTTCTTCAAAGAACATACAGCTCAAATACCACAACAAATTTGTGCAATTTGTTAACAAACACATGTTGCTGTGAGATAGCCTTCAGGCTTGCAGAAGCATCCAAACACAGTTTAGCAGCAATAGGTCTGGTGTAACCAAAGTCCAAAAGAGCGGCAAGAAAATAATGACTGGAAGTGCTTATAGAAAGCTGTGGCAGTGAATAGTGAGACCAAATAAGATTACTTGGGGAAAAGGGATCTGTAATATGAGACAGGAAGCCAACAAAGGCATAAACTGAGGATGGGATCACAACTGAGTTGCAGGAGAAAGAGGGAACTTAAGTAGTTGTGATTACAAAAAGAGAAAGACCAGGCAATAAAGTTACAATCAAGGGAAGTCATTAAAGAGAAGAAGATATCAAGAAAGAATTTTATTAAACACTGAAAATAAGGAAATATTGAGGTTAAGTAAAACACTAGAAGTAAGAGGGAAATAATTCAAAGGAGAAAGCAGGCAAGTTAGTAAAGCTGAAGTTTATGCTTGTGGCCAAAGTATCAGTCAGACATCAGTTAAGACAGGGAGAAAACGTGACTCTCAAAGCACTACCTTTAAGCATTTGGCAGAAAGACCAGAATACCAAATAGGCCAGATTTTGAAATGCTTTAAAGTTTAACACCATTTCATTTAGTTTTTCAAAATTTTACATGCTCAGTGTCCAGAAAAATATGGATTAAAAGCTCCAGTGCCACAAACAAAACAAGCAGGTGATTTATAAGCTTGCCTCAGACAGGTCTGCTAGTTTAGAACAACCTTGGCCCTCAGCAAACCCCTGATGCTGGAATCCTCACTGTCCTTCCTGAAAAGAGTTTGTCAATGCATGAGCACCTCAACTGAAAGGATTTTATTATTTTTGGAAGTTCTCCCAGCATCAGCATGCCTTGGTTCTGATCCACAGCTTCCCCTATTAATCCAGTTCTGAGTTTAACAAACCAAGACTAGCTGTTGTTGCACAGCAGCTTCAACACATATGCAGATAGCATCTGAAAGATCCAACACCTCACCCTTGATCTAGAACATGACTAGAAGAATGCTTCCCCGAAGGAAAAGAATGTCTTTGGTACCAACACAATGCAAGAGCCTTGTGATATGTGCAAGACAAGCTGCTGTTCCACGATATTTACCTTTCTACAAGCAGGACAAAGTCCATTCTCATCAGTGCGGATACGATGCCAACAGAAACGACATATTTGGTAGCCACAGGTGCAAGGGAAGAAGTTGATGTCATCAATTTCCAGAGGCTCCATGCAAAGGGGGCATTCCACAGGGTCTTCCTTAGCATCAGGGCTGCGAGACATTTTTATATGTTCGCAGAGCAGCAAAAGTTTATAATAACTTAATAGACACAGAAGGTCAGCACTTGAAGGTCTGCAAGAGGGGGAAAAAAAAGGGGGATTAATACTTTCGACAATGTTTCTTTTGTACCTTTTAATACTGTCATTCTTCACCATTTTCCTTCTACCCATGCAAATTATCTAGCAACACACAAATAGTACCAAGTAGTAATAAACTTTGGGGTCTCTTTCTACTTATGAGTCACATGAGTAATATGAAAGATGGTACTGGTGATGTACCTCTCTAGCTGGATAGGCAAGCAATTCTTTAGCAGTTCACTACCCTATTTGGATTTCGAAGTGTACAGTTGCAAAAAAATGCTTAACAGTGTATACCACACACTGATTTTAAGTGCTGATAGTTACTTTAACTATTGATTTCTTGAAATCTAAAAATCCAAAGTCAAATACTTGGATGCAGAACTTTATATTTAAGATAAATTAATTCCTTTGCTCAGAGACTTGGAACAATAAGAGATTTAGAACAACATTTAGGTCATCCATTCAGACTTTTCAGTAGGGTTACAGAATTACCAAACAAAAACAAGGAAGTCTTCTTATTCAGGAGGATTCATTTCTTTGTGCATCACATTTTTTGGTCCAGAGACTGATCTCCGAGATCAGCCTTAAGGCTATAGCATTAACTAAGATACGTATAAAACTGTATCTGACAAGTGTTGGACAACTTTCATCAAGTCGTTTATGCTTTTCATCAGCATTCAATTCACACTAAAGTCCAAATAAATATATGTGGACAAAAACCCCCTAAGTTTTAACTTACACTGCAGCCCCAGTATGGCATTTCTGGATCAGAATTTTGAAGAGACCCAAAATTCAGGTCACCATTTTCTTAACTCATTTCTTGTATTTAGTCTTTTGAGTATGCTTCAAGTCTGTCCATTTAAGAATGCAGTACAAAAAAAGTTACTTTCAGACTCAAAGCAGGGCACATACAATCATCACTGTACAAGCAATCAGCTACGGCTTTTTCTTTTTTCTTCATTTAAGTACCACTCCAGATATTTTAAATGGTATCTAATCTCAGCAAGCTGTCTCAATCTGCTGCATGAAACATGCATGTAGATGGGACAAAATTAAAGGACAACATAAGAATTTTTAAGTGTATCTTTTGAAGGAAAAACCACCCCACCACAACCTACAACCCCACTGAAAAAGATGTGTCCAGAACTGATAGTTGGATGGTCATACTATCTGTAATAAACTACACCACTTCTTTACAAATAAACGAGCTCAAAAGTTCTTAAAAATTACTGAATTTTTTACAATTATGCCTTTCCCAAAACATCACTCATGCAATTATAATTTAAGCACACACACAATCTGGAGTCCCCACTACTTTCCCAGAGAATTTTCCATTTCATTTCTAACCAAAAACTACTAGATCATGTACTATCCAATCTTTCTCCAAGCTTTGAGGAGAAAGTCCAGAAATAAAGTCTCACATCCACCTACTTGAAGAAGAGTGACATTTACTCCTGTTCTGGAAACAAGATGACTCAATGTATTGGGATCAAACTCTTGCTCACAAATTTCTGTACATTGCAGTGTTAGCCTTGCGTATCTTTTGTTTGATACTCTACAAAAAGCCAGTCCTCATTATGATCTTCCACACTCTAAACCATACTTCTTTGCATAAAGTCTATCTTGTAAAGCCTGAGAGGTTCCAGCTCAAGATGCAACCTCCCACCTTACACAATAGGATCCATTCAGCATCAGTCCGCAATACCTGTCCCTCTCCTGTACATCTCTTCAGGAACAAAGATTCCTCTGCAAGCAGCCAGGAGAGAACCCTGAAGAGGAGCAGCATACACAGACACACACAACCAAAGCATCACCCAAACACACAGCAGAGAGTATATAGCTTTGTACAGGAACAGTCACATTATACTTAGGTTATTAACCTGTGCTCACAGGCTGATATAAGAAGCCTAGACTATGCAATTTCCAGTAGTCTGGGAGGGAATATAGCCTCTAGGCAAAGGTGCAGTTCTGGTAAACATATACCACTGCCCTAGTGAGAAGTTCCACTGTATGCTCACACAGAAGTAAGGACAAGAGAACAGATTTTAGAAGTGATAGAACAATTTCCCTATATGGCATGCACAAGCCACAACGCTGTCCTCTTTCTGACCTCCACAATGACTAAAACAAAAAAGTTAGCCTCCTACAGTAATACTGCAGGTTTTACTTCATTAACTATGTTTTCATTAGTGCTATATTTTCAAACATTTTGACAGGCTCAAAACCAGGTTCCGGGACCTTACTAGTGTTTTCTACAGAGAACACTAGCAAAATCTGACTTGAAGGAAAGTATCAATTTGTTTGGGAGCTCTGTCTTGTTTTTTAAGAACTCATTCCCACTGTCTGAAGAGTGGGAGGGACTGCTGTTAATAGGCCACAGCACATTATTTAATTGCTTATTATGCAGATAACTTACATTTCTACAGCAACTCTTACATTTCCTGCAAACTTTTCACACTTGTATAGCAGCAAACAAATTACAAGATAAAAGTAACTTTAAACTGAACCATGGGATAAACTGAATGGATTTTGTTCACTTTAGATTTGGATTTGACTTTGTTACAGATCTCCAATCAACAAGTCAGTAAGCAGACAGCATATTCCCTTCGACTGTGTACTCATTCTACCGCATGCTCAGCAGCTTTGAGCCTACTGAAACATGTCTAAATAAAGCTATACTAGTAGAAGAGAAGCTGTAGTTAAAAGTGCAATTTTGAAGAAACTTCAGCCACCACAGCAAAACTACTGAATTATGAAGTTACTATTTGGAATCTCTGCTAAGAACTGTCATCAGTTCATGTGAAGAAAGTGTGACATATTAGCTAGTGCCTCTGGGATATGCAGACAAGCTCTAACAAAACTGCAACATGATTAACATTTATGAGCTGTTTAAGTTAACACTAAGAGTTCAGCAGCTGCTAGCAATAATGCCAATAGCTTGCTTCAGTCAGCAAACGGCCCATTATTTTACAACAAGGAGTAAAAAGCAGCTGTGTGCCATGTTTCTTGAAACTAAGTAAAAGCAGTATTTATTTACTTGCGAAAAGACTATTCAAGCATTTCATTTAAAGATTCTCCACTGAAGCGTGTCTCTATTTCAGAAGGGTTTATTACACTAGGGTCTGCGTCTCAACTCTGCATCAGAACAATGCTTGTTTTTTAAAAACCGGAATAACATGCATAGTAAGGTATCATTAATGAATTGTTCATATAGCACTACCAAGAAACCCAGAGTTACTAATCAGCTCTAAGGCTATTCCAAACAATTCAAGATTAACATCACACGAAAAGTAACAGCAATTGCAAAAAACAAAAGGCAGTATTACATGTTGTGTTTAACTGAGAGTATTTGGCCTTTGGGATCATGTTCAAAGAGATTAAACTAATAGCACCTCAGGAAAAAAGAAGGAAGGTTGCACACATGTACACACACAATACAAGCAGCTAGAATTTATCCATACACTTTCCAAAATGCCGACAACTGCAGTCAAACAGGGCTCCGACAGCTCCACATCCTGTTTACAGAAGACTGCCAAAACATTCATGCATGCAGGGATGGAGCAGAGGTGGGCAGTGTCTAGCAGCATCTTTTACATTTAATAAATTTGTAATAGGTAATAACCAAAATATAGAAGGATATAGTTGTGTGTCTTATCCCTTCCATCATACAAACTAGTAAGGTTCTTTTCTTTTCCAAACACATGCAAAATGAAAAAAAAAAAAAAAAATCATTTAAAAATGCTTACTTAGTGGATTTGACAGCTGTGTCTAATCAGCTCACTGTATAATTGTTTCTCTTGATGAAATCCTCCAAATTTTGCAGTTGGGAAAAAGAGATCCTACTATTTGAGGATACTAACCTAAACACAATTTTACTTCTACTACAGCTAGTGATTTCAGTCCATTAAGGATGGAGATGCTGCCTTTCCCTTTTTCACTTGAGGTGAGCAAGTTTAGCTTCCAGCAGTTTATCTTCCCCATTTAATTTTAGAAGGGGTCATTTAAAAAAAAGGGGGTGCAGGGGAAAAAATCTTGTTATCCATTCCTTTTGCTCAAGTGACCCCATTTGAGACTTGACACACATACCCCTCCCCATAGTAGACACCAGAACATCTCCACTTGCTAGCAGTTCGTTTAAGTAAACTGGTCCCTTAAACTTTAAATCCTCCCCCAGGGAGGGCAGCTAGCTCCAGGGGAGCAATCCCCCACACACTGGGTTGAATACTTGCTTTAAGAGACTATAAGTGTCACAGCCTAAAGTTTGCAAAATCTACTCATGAAAAAAACAAGTAAAGGACTGGAATCCCAGAAAATATTTGGAGACTTAAGGCCTCTCAAAGGAAAAAATCCAGACATGTGTTAGCTAATGTTTCACTTCAAGTTCAAACATACCTGACACTTGAAGTGAAACAGGTCGGAGTCTACACACCCAACCTTTAGTAAGGGCTCATTAAACTTACACAAACAACTTAAACAACTTAAACTTCATGGCCTTGTATCTTTTGAAACTTTACAGCACTGAGAATTCTCAAAAACGTGCTGCCAGATACTGCCTGTGGAACGCCAAAGGGAAGGCAGCCCCCCCCCCCCGCGAGACCACCACTCCCACCCTGACAAAGGATCAGTCGGTTCCCTTTCCACACTTCACCTCTATGGTGATCCCACATACAAGCTGGAGGCAGAAAGGCAAGCAGACTACAAGTAGCCGAATGGTTTATTCCTTCCTCGAACCAAGAGAGCAGTAGCAGTTCTGTCAGCACACTGCCCTCATCGAGGCCAGTCCGGGGGCAGGGAGGGGGGGAGCACAGTGGCCTGAGGCTCACATTTGGACTACCTCCTCCTGCTAGTTACTCTGCTGAAAGGAAAGCAATCCTGATCTTCAGTCTCTGAACCCAAGAGACTACCACTTCATTGCACTGCAGTGACCAGTGGAAGATTTGTATCAAAAATATTTTATAGGCACGCTGCAGTAAAAAGCCCATTTTTACTT